TGAGAAAGTCTAAATAAATGACCGAATTCCTTTTGTTTCTCTTCTCTTTTACCATTTTCAATCTTTTTCTATGTTTTTAATTTCATTGTCGGGAATATAAAATAACAAGGGAATTTCCCATAGTATTAAATGCCGTGAAAAATAAAGAAATTAAGGAACATTATGTTTTTGCCTTCACCCCTACTGGTCTTAATCCCTTTTCCCCATCTTTAATTGTGGTACCAAAATAGTCAAAAATTCGAGGCCTCATTTCGGCCCTGGTCGTATGCTGCAAAAACGTTGAGGCGAGGTCAGTTCCCGCAATGCCTCCCCGCGGCAGGCCACACCGGGTCTAACCCTCTGAACGGCCAGAAATGACAGTCCCTAGATAGGCCGAGTGCCGCCACCCATCTCGCCATCTTTGAGGGTTACTCGTAAGGTTCAGTGCGCCCAAAATCAGGGGTACCCTGAGTTCCCTAATTTCTGTTGCCTGGTCATTCCATAGTACTGTTAAAACTTAGACTCGTCTTTGCGCCTAAATCCCAAAACCGTAGATTTCAGGCAGCGCACTGCCTGTGGCCGCCTGACAGTTAGCCCGGAACACTTCTCGACGCCCCCGTCGAGCCCTAGCAACTTACGTCAGACGAAGCGGATGAGCTTCAGGGTGATGGCCCGTAAAGAACGCCCACGTGGGCGTTCAATTGTCTTACGTTTCGGTTTGTTATGAGTCCTGGGGCTAAGAAGATGCTTCTTGACTCTCCTGTTTCTTTTGGTTTTTGGCCCCGGCACGATCCTCTTTTTCTTCTGTCTTTGCCCCGAGAAGGGTGTCGACCCGCTAGTACGTCTAACGCGAACTCTTCATCTAGCTTGCTTGAGCACGAATAACCATCTTTTGTCTCTTCCTAAAGCTAACCCTTTGACCTTTCTTTTCTCTATTCTTTTCTTTTTCTTGGAACTTTCCTCTGCCTCGAATTGCCTCAAGGGGGCTCCTTCCTCCATTATGGTTTTTCCTTTCCCTTTCGGGCTGGTCAACGATAAGGCAGACGCGGGCCTGGGCCTAAACAGCTTTAACCTAGCGCCCGCCACTGGGTCCTTCCACTTAGATCCATCCAATTCTGCTATCATATATGCACCCCAGTCGAGTGCCTCAACCACTCTGTAAGGTCCCATCCATCTATTTGCGAGTTTTCCGGTCCAGGTCCTTTCCAGTGTTGCGTCGTAGAGAAGGACCATATCTCCTACGCTCACCCTCTCTTTCCTGATTCACACGTTCTTATCCCATCTCTCTTTACCCTTGTCCCTTTCCAATGCCAGACGATCTGCCGCTGTCATCAGGTTTTATTCCAAACCGTAGGCTATCTGTCTTGTTCGGGCAGCTAAGAGTTCCTTATGGACATCTCCTCCGGCCAGTCGACGGTTGTCCAGCTGTCGACGTGAAACTCTATGGGAAGCAGACAATGTCGCTCAAACCACAAGGTGTACGGTGGGTATCCGGTACTAGCCCGGACCGTGACGTTGTCTGCCCAAATTGCGTATCGAAAATATCGTGGCCAATCACTGTCCTTGCCTTTGCACCACTTAGATAGCGACGCTATCAGGGTCTGGTGCCCTCTCTCTACTGGGGAGTTCGACTGTGGGTGATAGGCGGTAGCTATCGAAACTCTCGGTCCGGCTCTCCTGAACACATTCTGAACCTCGTCAGCGAGGAATTCCGCTCCTCTGTCCATCACTATCTTGCTGACACAACCATACCTAGATGAGTACTCTAGGACAAAGTTCTTTACTTCCTTGGCAGCCTTACTCCTGATAGGTCTACCGTCCACGAACCCAGTGAAATCGTCTCGTATGTTCACGACGTAGTTCATATTGCCTACCCCTTTCGGCATATTCACTAGAGCGATGTGTACCTTCTCCCCTGGTCTGGTCGGATAGGATGGATGAAGTGGCTCTTTGTATTTCACAAGAGCTCTCTTCTGACACTCTTCACAGGTCCTACAATACCTCTCGTCGTCCTTATACTGTCCTTCCCACCAGTACAACCTGCGTACCTTTTCGTAGGTTCCTTTCACTCCCTTGTGTCCTCCGACTACCCCGTCGTGAAGCTCCGCAACTATTGTCTGTCTCTCCTCAGGGTCACAGACTACTCGTAAGGGTATCCCCGAGCCGCTCGGCCTTCGAAACAGATGGCCAGCTCTAAGGCAGTACTGGGCTGCTTGCCTCCGGATATCTGATTCTTGACTCTCCTTTCCTTACAAATGTAGCCCGATCATTCKGTATTTGCCCTCGTAAAGGTTAACTAGAAAACGCTCGGTGGGTCCTGGCTCCTCCATAGTCAGGGTCCCAACTACTATCGGGCGCTCGGCCTCAAGAGGGATGCGCGAAAGTCCATCTGCCACGGCATTTTTAGTGCCAGATATCCTCTCAACCGTGTAATCATATAGCCGAATCCGTACTAACCATCGGGCGATGGTCGGGTCCGTCAGACTAAAGTCTTTTTGGAGGACATAGGCAACGGCGGTGGGGTCTACTCTCAAGATGAACCGTCGCCCATAGATATAGTGTCTGAACGTGTCTAGACACCGGAGAACAGCTAACACTTCCTTCTTGAATTGACTGTAGTTACGCTCAGCCGTATTAAGTGTCCTACTCTCAAATCTTAACGGTCTTTCCTCCCCTCCAGCGTCCTTCTGAGACAGCAAACCACCYACTGAACATGGTCCAGCATCCGTGGATACTATGAAGGGTCTCTCGGTCTCATCGTCAAAGAATGGCACGCCCAACACGCGTCCTCCCTCCTTAAATTCGTCTTTAAGTTCTTGCATAGCGAGTTCCTGCGAGGAATCCCAGTAAAATTTTTCAGTCTTTCGAAGGAGTAACCTCAATGGCTCAGCCTTCTCCGCATACCCCCGTATGAATAT